GAGCAAAAGTCGCATTAGGTATCACAGAAAACAATGGAATGAGGGGCAACGAGCAAAAGTAAAAAGAGAACATCCCTGATTAGTGAATTGACTCTTGGAGAACTCCGTGAAATAGAGGAACTTGACAAACACTGTAAAACGCTGACTATTTGGTAAAGCGATTGGTGTTCCGGCAAAAACCATCAATTTATATGCAATATATTAAATGTTCATTATTTATGAATTTCTTTTCAATCGTGTGTCTGTCGCTTCAGGCGGCCAGGCGAAAGATCATCAATCGAACCTGAGTTGTTATTAGATACTTTAAGGTCCAAAGGGGCGACGGGAGCAAGAACGTCACTTAAAAAGTCAATTTGCGTTCTTTCAGTCTTAATAGCGAATATTCCTACCCACCTACTTTGTCAATTGTAGGCGAACTCTCCTAAAGCGGAATTTCATGGGACCATTATTTAAGCTCAGAAAGAGAAATAAAATTTCGTCGTTGCTTGTTTACGTTCCCCATTAAACGCGAAATTAGGCATTTTCACGTTGAAGTCGTGCAAAAAAGGAAAAGAAATGTACAAAAAAGTGTGATGCATGTGCAAAGTTTTTGTTTTGCTCATTAAACCTATTGTTTTTTATGACATTCTCGCTGCCGTCCGCGTCGTTGGATCTTCAAGTCCCTATTATGTCTGATCAACGCGTCTGTTGTATTGCATACTTAGTAAACAATCTTTGGAAGCTGAGAGATGCTTACCATTCACACAAACCACCCGCCGCGGGGTGGAAAACTTCTGCATAGATATAAAACTATTGACAATTTTACCGAGAGCATAAAGTATCGTCTTTACACCCCAAAATGTGCCATAATCGTTGTTTTCCATTTCCCTTGGGGCGACTGTATTAAAAGGAGAAAGAAACTGGAAACAATGGTAATGAAAAATTTGGTGGGAGGGGGAGGGGAAAGCCATAAACAAGAGGCACAATTATGGTCTCGGCGAAAATGGTGAATAAAGTTTGAGAACGAGCCGCAACAAATTATATCCAAATCGGCTGAACAGACTAAAAAAACTACAAACATTGCTTCGTCTTAAATCTTCGCTGAACCTTCCTAAATGGAATGACACAAACCATTTGATTTTCAAACCGGAATGTCCAGTTTTCCCATATAAATGGTAAATTACACAGTCAGGTGTTCCACCCTGAGCTGTAAGCCTTTATGACGCCTTAAACAGCAAGAAGAAATTAAAAGTAAAACATAAATGCTTGAGTCACGAAATGGATTGGAAAGATCAGATTCAGTGCTAACTAAATATTTCATTAACATATTCAAAACGGTTTTCCTTCTATTTCACGATTTCTTTCTTTTGTTTGTAATTGTCAAATATGTTTAAGACCTTCTTGACACATTTAAATAGACAAAATGACAGTTGCAGTGAATTTTAATGCAACCTAAACCGCTCAAGAGAAATCTAGAACCGCAGATCTAAGTACGGCTTGACCATCTCTTATGCAACTTAAATTTTGAATGTATGCCAGATATTTAGACTACCGAGCAAAGGCATTAAACATTTCTGTATTTAGGCTTATACTTCTAACAGTACATTCAAATTTTAATATCACATCTATTTTCTGAATAATTGATTCTGCGGTTGTTGGGCAATGTAAAAACCCTGGGGTCAATTTAATAAAACTTGTACACGTGTAGTTTGCAAGAGTAGCTATTGTTCTCAGACTCTAAAACAAATTGTTTTAGAGTCTGAGAACAATGGCAGCACTACACTTGTAAATTGCACGTATAAAGTTTTTAATTATTACCCCTGGGCTTATTTGTAGCTGTTAATATATTCATTGACGTTAAAGGATAAGAGATAAAAGAAGACCACTATAAAGAAAGTTATATGCAGTAACTTATAAGCTCAGATGGTGTTGTTTTTCAGCTCTATTAATTCATTTCCGTCGTTAAGAAGGAAGAGTTAAAAGAGCTTTTAATTTAAGCTCAGTGTTATGACAATACCCAGCTGAATTTTAGCTCTTGACTATTTATTTGTTTATTACTCGGCGTTAAAAGGAAAGAGTTAATAGAGAAACTCTCAATCAATCCATCAATCAACTTTATTTAAACACACTAAATTGGCTCAGCAAGCTGGTTTTTAGACATGCTGTGTGACGATTACAACCTATAGATATTAAAACTGGTGATTAACTAACAATAATTTAGCACTACGATTTACAATTTTATATATGTTCCTATCGACTCTTATAAACGTAACTGGGTAAGCAAGATTTATTTGGATACAATAATATAATAAGAAGAAATAGGTCAAAAAATAAAAATAAAATAAAAAGTTATATCTTAGGATGTCGCAAGTTTAAAGCTAATAAGATCATCTGTCCCACGTGTTTGGTTTGGTTCCAAGCCATGGCACCCCGATAAGAGATTATGACCGCTTAAGAAAATTCTAATTAACGAAGTTGTATGAAATAATTTATAAGTTCGCCTTGTTTTCGCTATAAATAAACCTGCTTAGAAATATAACCAGCTTGTTGAGACAAAATGTTTATTTAAAACGTCAGTTGAAGTGAGTATAGTGCAGTTAAAACCCTGCCTCGAGACAAAATAGTTCTCTGGTAAATTTGCTAGGAAAGGTGATTAGCCTGGGTATGGGAGCTTCCTTTGGGCTTCTCTTGTCTTCATAAATAATGCGTGGGTGATGGGTAAACGTCTTTAGAATTCATGCAGAATAACTAAGCAATGAGGAGATGATAGAGACTAGGCCTTGGCGGATTGTGCTCCTAAAAGTGGCATATTATCCTACTAGCGGTGCTCGAAATTTTGCCAAATTATGCAAAATTTTGCCAGATTTCCCAAATTATGCTCCTGATTTCCGAAATTATGCTCACAAATGACGTAGATTCTCTACATATAGGCGCGCAATAACGACAACAAATTATGATGTTTTTCAAATAAACTGTTGTTGTAAATTTAGAATATAGTACTATCTTGATTTAAACTAACTCAAACTATAGCGAACTACAACGTTGAAAGTGTCAAGCCACGAAGTCAATCAACTTGTCTTGGCAGTTCTGAGTTCTTTCAGCACCAATAATTGCTTGAATAAACATGGATAAGAATACACAAGTCAACATCAGCACTTATATTATTGTCAGTACTGCAACATTACGCTGGCCTGGAGATAGTCTGCCAGAGCGCTGTCCTGCTGATCGCTAAATGCCGCCGAGAGTAGGGAGAAGGCTCGCTCAGCTGCAGCAGAGAAAGGCTGCACCAATTCTTGGGTTGCACGTGACGTCACCAAAAATCAAACTAAGAAACTATCGATTCTTCTGAGTTTCTACTTTCACGAGGTATTACAGTACCTAAACATCTTTACATAAACAAATTTTTGGTTCGAAAGGGTTCTTCGTTTTGCGAGAGAAGACGCTTGAATTTCCAGGCTTTTGTGTGACGCGGCATTTAGCTGGCGACCGGAAAAGCTCTTATGTGGGTTAAAAACATTACCGATTTTGGGAGATTTTACAATCTAAACATTCCTTGTCTCAGAATAAATATTACTGTAATCTTTATGAGTTCCTCAAGCGAAGAATTCACGCATTAGTAGGAAAACTCGAAAACAGATGTTTCTGTTGGTATCCGGCAGCCATATTGGTGTTCCTGAAACGGACACCAACATGGCGTTTCCATACAAAGCTTTGTAAATTTAGGTAAACCGTTTTTCCCAATATCTCGCGTTTGAAATATTTCACAGACCTGATTCTTGGCAAGGGTTTTTGTATATTTATCTTTTTTCATTTCCCAGATTCTAGTCCTTCTGTATTGAATGGTTTGCATTTTTATTTTTCATTGCGTGACAGTGCAAGCCGAGAATAGAACCTGCTTCCCTGCGGCTGATTTAATTTTTTATTTCTGTAGGTAAATACACCTTATTTACTAAATTTTATGAATTTATGCTCCAAAAAGTGCTAAAATTTGCTAATTATGCCGTGGCAGTGGTCGTTTAAAAAATGATGCTTTTTTGCTCCAATTATTGCTAGCACAATCCGCCAAGGCCTAGTCTATGGACCGGGGGTCAGTGTTTTCGGGTTCCCCGTCTGAATGAAGCGTGAATGAAATGTCTTAAAATGGTTTAAGCATGGCGTGTGATTTACGCCTGTGTTCATTGTTTCTTCTCGCCGAAAAGAAAGAACGTAATTATAAGATTTGTCTAGTATTCTTATGACAGACTCGTGTCTTTGCTGTAGTTTACGTCTAGCGCACATTTAGGCGCATTATTAAAAACACACAACGCGCAAAGGGCAGTTTGTGTAGACTACGAAATTATGGTTGTTCGTAGGGGGAAATGTTAAAAAAGTTCATCAACCTTCTTGGGTCTTTTCGGAAACAAAAAGTCTAACTTATAGTAAAGGTTACTGCTTATCAGATATAATCTACCGGGTACATGTAGGTACAATAACGATTTGTCGGTCCGATTTTGCAAAGAAAACATATTCTAACATAAAAATCGGCCTTCTTTAACATTTGGTTAGAATCTCCTTGAGACGGATAGATTGACCTATAAACATAAACCGTGAACTTGACGCAGCCAAAGAGTTTCGTGAATGACAACCAGAAAACAATAAATTTCATGAGTAATAAACTTTTGAAAGGGGTGTGGTGAAGGGAGAGGGGGACAATGATGCACACGTATGGGTAAGAATTCTTTTCTCTGTTACTGTGATCGAATTTGATTTTATTTTTTGTTTTAAAATCAGCATTAATTTCTGGATTGGAATAGGGTGAACCTTATTCGTTTTAAGTAATGAAAAGTCTAAAAATGGACGCTTCGCTTTTAGCCTTGGCTAAATCTATATATTATTTGTCGTAATACAGTTAGAATGAGAAATCAGCTTAAATCTTAAGCAATACCAGACGAGTATAATTAACTGCACCAAGAGCCATTATGGCTCTTGACTGCACTTTGTACAGTAACAACAACCCTTACTGGTTTTGCCTCTTACGGTTTTAAATCGTGAGCGGCCTGCTATCCCAGCCAAGTGAGCTACAACCCTGGTCAAAACTCTTGGGACACTAACGCAATAGCTCGTCAAATTGAGGCATCTTCCCTGCCCCCTTCCCCCTCGGTGCTGTGTTGACGTTATGTGCTTGGGGGAGAGGGGGACAGCAGAAATAACCCTTTATAACAACATCCCCAAGCTTTTTTAAGAGGAAGAATATGAGTTAATTTAGCAAAGTGCGTATTATATTTGTGCATAATTTCCTGCAAGTGTCCCAATACGTTTTGACCAGGGTTGTAGTACAGAAAATCAATACAAACATGTATCAAATTTGAATCTGAGTTCCTGCATGCGTGGTGAGCAGTGAATTTTTTTTTACAATAACCTCTTTGTATTCGGTCAGAATGAAAAAATCTTTGAATGGACAAAATTGCTTTGAAACCGACACACATCAAATGTAAGAAGACCGAGCAGGCAAAAATTTTAACTGCCTTGCATATAAATTCACTGGTCATTAAGCATGAATGCAGAGATGAATCTGAAATCTACAACTACCAACGGATTCAACTTTCAAATAATGGAATCTTAGTGGGGGAGGGTTACGCTGGACCTGGCTTGACTGTAATGAGATAAGTATTAAAAGCATGGTTATTTTATAACACGCAAATTCTCATATACCCCCACCGTGGCAGAAAGGGGGGGTTGACGGAACCCCTCCCTGGAGTTTTTGGTATGTTGCAGTATTTCGAAGCGATTTTGCCTTCAGTGAAAAGCCTTTGATCTTCTCAACAAGATGAGGTATATTTTATGGGTGGTGGTGCTACTGGAGGCTCCAAACATGGTCGCCATCTTGGCCGTCTTCTTGGATATAACCAAGAATTAGAAATCAGGTAAAAACCACGAAATTATTTTTTGGGCTTGACATTTAAAATAATACATAATTCATTTCTAATCATTACTTATTCATTCATTCATTCATTCATTTTTGCCATTATCCACATACTTTGAATCTAGAAAAATTCATTTAAGCTTGGCGAAACCTTTATTTTAACTATCTTTTGGTCATCTTTTTTCCAAGTGGCGGGTTTTTATCCTTATGTTGAAGCTTGTGTTGAGTGGCATTACCACTCGAACACGTTGTTGTATAGTTCAGTCAAAAAGCTACTAGATGTAATTCCTTTCGCCTTGTAAGTTTACGAAATTAGTTACTGGTGCCCGTGTAATAACGAAATATAACGGCAGGGAATAATTATAAACTGAATCCAAATCCAAAAGGATAGACTACTAACTGAGGATACAAAAAAGACTTGACTGATCTTGACTGCTTCCTAGTTTTGGTGCTATCGTTTTACTGTACCAAGATATAACCTATTCCCTTTATATGCTTCTTGCCGTTGTCTGTATAATACGTAGCCTCGTTGCCACATGTATTGCTGTTATCATACAATCCACCAGTACCAAACCCGATTCTAGAGTCACACTTATCGCAATCGTTTTCATTGTTGCCGAGGAAACCGATTCTTGCTTTTGACTGATCCTTACCCGAATTACTCTGCTTGTTACTCTTGGCATTAAATCCTTCCCTGTTACATTTCCTTTGTAAACAGGCCTTAGAACCAATCAGCGACTTCCACGTGCCGCGACCCAGTGAGGTCTTGCGGTATTGGCCATCAGCGATCAGAGAGTACAAGGAGTTCGCCTTCTTGTTGATGACAATAAACCTGATCTGCTGGCCGATCTTCATACCGAGGCAGATCTTGGAGAAAGATGTGTTCCAGTAGGAAGGTAGTTTAGTCTCCTGTAAGTCAAACCCAGTCTTCCCTCCGTCAAGGTTAAAGGTTTCTTTGTTGCTCCAGAGACTGGCGTCGAAGTGAAAAGTTTGCTGTGATAAAATTGTTAAGAACAACAGTCTCCATCATAGGTAAAGAATGATTTGATTCAAGTATGGTCGGAAGGTTATTTCGCCTGTACATCTAGTAAGGCTCCATTACCTTGGGATCGCAGAAATATTGCGAAACTCTTAATTTTATCAACAAACGTTGGATCCCGCTACAGTCCTGCTGTGGTTTGTCTCATTGTCTCATGATCAGATTACTTCGGATCATCGTTTGAGGCTCTTGCTGTGTAAATGAACTTCGTGTATTTTACTAGTAAGAATAGAGCATATAATTTTTGATAGTATAAACGCGTGGAGCAGTTATCCAGAAATTTTCAGCCTTTCTCAAGCTTTAGAAATTTCTAGGCAACAGATGATCCTTCGAACAGTTTTCGCACGGTTTAAAAACTCATGTAGACTAATATAATTCACCAAAAATTCACCCCTTTCATATGGGAGATTTGTCAAGGCTAAGCAATTTAAGTACTCTTTATGCCGACCACCGGATACTAACTGTAAATTAAGGTTGTTACTTGCACTGGTTAAAGTTTAATACGCTGTTAATTCGCTGAACGTCGCCGAAAGCAGGGCCCTATAGGCTCCCGTTACTAATACGATGTAAAAAGTTCTTGACACTGTCCACCTCAGTTCTTTATAGTGTCTAAAAACTGCAGGAGACTGGCGTTTATCGTGGATGCCATTTTCCAAAAAAGTTTTGCTCCTGTGCAAAGCGTTCTAAAGGGAAATAAGCCCCTCGGACATTTTTAGAAAAATCATTTAAATAGCACTCCGGACTCCTATTGAGAATTACTGCTTAAAGAATCAAGTCCGCGGTATTTAATAACCTTTTTTTTTTTTCACTTTCGTTCCCGAACTTTTAATCAAACTACTGAAAAGTCTACCTTGTTGCCATCCATCTTCATGACCGGTGTCCATCCTCCATTTCCACATCCAAAATCTCCCATGTGGCAGAGAACGGGAATTTTTTTGGAATCAAGGAGAAGAGTGATCAACTGAGTCACGTTTAACCTATACAAAATTAAATCTCATTTAATTTATTTTTTCCATATCTTGACTGTCGAATAAACAAAGGGAATGTTACTTAAAGAGCTCTGTCACGATTGCCTAGTTTATTTTGTTATAAAGTATTGCCAATTACTCTTTCAAAGTAATTTTTTATTGGCTTATTGACTTCCATAGTGCAAAAGAGTCTTTTGCGCTATGGAACTCAATAAGTCAAGAAGAAATTACTTGTGAATGACAAACCATTCTGTTGTCCAATAAATATGCCTCCCGGTCATAAACATTACAGACTTCAAAAATGAATTTTGAATAACTGCACTATGCCAACAAGTTTTCAAAAACCCACAATTGCAATCAATTTTAAACCTTTTTAAAGTGTTTTTTATCGGTGCCTTTATTTTGCATTTGTGGCTGTTTTAATGGTGTAGGAACAGCCCCATCGAGACTCAATATTTTATTGTTTCTATTTAATTTTATTATTATTTAAATCAGTAGTGATACTCACTTTTCCTTGAGCTGATCATAAAGGACTTGACATGACTTTGCAACTGAAAAAAAATTTGAAACATAAACTCAACTTAGATTTTCTCTTACTTTACCAAGAACCGATAATTAAGGGAGGAGGAGGGATAAAGGACAAGAGAAAATTCAAACCACAGGTTACGGCACTTTTACGGGTCTTTGCCTTTTTATGTGATACAGATAGCCTGCGTGGCAGGCGTTCGAAAGGGAAAGGGAAGGGAGGAGGAGAACGTCTGCAAGGAAGCCATTAAACCACAGGTTACCCACTTTCCCTTTACGGGTCTTTGCCTTTTTATGTGAGACAGACTGCTGGTCACGTCTTAAGTAATAACCTGTAATCTTTGGGGTGTAAACTACGTTTGGGTTAACAAATTCACACCACATCCAGTCACTTTAACTGCCCGTTCGTTTCTTTAGCTACGTTTCTTGTACCACTTGTGACGTCATCAGTTTTTTTTTAAATTTTTTTCCCCAAAATGAAGCCAGTAGAAAAGTACGGAAGAAGAAAAGCAAAAGAGGTGGAAAGGAGAGAAAGTGACAGGTAAACTTGGGGGGGGAGTCAAGGAGTCAACAGTTTTTATTGAAAAGAAGACGATTCAAACTTTGACGGTCATGTCAAATTAGTAATTTGACAGCAGCCAGCGGCGGTTTTGTTCAACTTGATCGGTTTTGGCCAGATGGTGACAAGAGAGAAATGTACTTTTGAGAGCACTGACAAATTTATCTGCCAATGCTTCAAAGCAGGTTAAAAAGACGCCAAAAGATGATTGTTGGCCCGTTGCACACCTGACAATAGGCTTTAAATATTATCAAGGACGACGGCTTTACTATTTATGCTGCCTCGAATTGATGTACAGGGCGGCGGTACAGCAATTACCTTCACAGAATTCTCCATAAAACCCTTCCTTGCAACGGCAGTCAAACGTGTGATACTTGTAGTTCGCTACACAGGTGCCTCCGTTCTGGCACGATGATGACATGCAAGGAGTCTGAAATAATAATAAAAAATTTTGATGTCATATGATTTCTTTTCATTAAGGTAATTTTGTTCCTCGGTTAAGTGTTGAGGCAAGAAAATAGGGAGAAAGTGACATTGGACTGAATAACTCCGACGTCTTATCGTCTGTCACTTTTACGCCAGTTCCTGTTCGATTTCTTAGCTGATATTCCATATAAAGAACCTTAATTTTATAAAGAATTACGGCGCCGAGTTTTACGTTTACACGAAAGTATCTTATATTTCAAGACACATTATTAAAATCGCGTAGACCTGATATATAAAAAATATCTTACTTTAAACTCTATACAAAGAATTTACCACACCTTGATAGAAAAGTGATGAAAACTCTCGTTCCTTTTATACTCCTCGGGATTGCTGTACTTTTCGGAGGATAACAACTCACACCGCAACTTTCCATCTGCTCCTTTGTAAGCTGCCAGGTTGAAGGACAAACAGGAAGGATTGCCGAGGCATTTAAAGGCGCAGCCAAGACTGTCATACACTGTGAATGTTCCAACTTTAGGAACGTTTAAATAATGGTACTCGTCCTTTATGAAAACATCTTGACGAAGACTGTGATGATACATGGTGGTAAATTCTGAAGAATCATTAATCAAGAAAGAATGAAGGGTTTAATTTACCTCTTTATGATGCATGGGTCGTGCATATAAGAAACCTTTAGGGAGTCCCTGGCTTTATGAATGGTTTTTAAAAAGGAACTCGTTAAGTGAACTGGAACTAGAGGTCAGGGGAAGAAAAATGTGGAATTACCCTCTTCATCGAATTAGGGATTTTTCTGGCAGTTCTACAGGTATTTAACATTTATGACTTTTAAAGCCATGCAGTTCTTTAAATCATACTTTTTGTGAGCTTTAAAACTGAATAAGACTTATTACGTTTGAAGCAGCCACTCGACGACGGCGGCAACGATCGAAGGTCTGAAAACATCTTTTTTAATGAAAACATAACTTACAGCTTCGCACGTACATCACACTTTGGGGCACACTTCTTAATCTGAAGTCCAATGCACGGCTTCGACGCGAAGCCGTTCCTAATACAACATTTTGTGGAAGACGTGAATTCACACATGACTTCGAATTTTCCTTAATTAATAGTCTTTCCAAAAAAAACTCGGATACAGTCCTTAAGAATCCATCTCCAGGAAAATTCAAGCATATCGCGATAGAGTATAAAAGAACGCAAAACTAGTATAATTCGTAATATTCGCTTTTGTCCTAGTTGCTAAAGCTCAATCTCCCTTAAAACAACAGGAACTGTTATACATTTTTCTAACATGCCGGCCGCAATTTCTCAGCGATTTTTTAAGTAGCCAAGCGAAACCGAAAAAGAGCCAAGTTAATTAGTGACAAAATACTATCCGCAGGCGTTGTTTTACATGCAAATCGTTATAATGAGAAAACTGGTTCGTCTCCATCTTTCCACTAAACTATACTAAGCAAAAAAGGTTATTCCCATGATCAATTTTACTCGACTATCAATAAAATAAAGCGAAGAAAAACCAACCTTCCAGTTGAGCAAAGACTGCATTGGGTATGAAAGAAAACAACGGAAGGAGGCAGAAGGATAAGGAGAACATCTCCGATTGGTGAAACGGTTGGCAAACTTCGTAAAATCAGTGGATGAACTTGACAAACACTGCCAAAAACAATGATTTGTAAAGAGATAGCCGTTCTAAAAAACCATCAGTCCGGTACGTCTGTTCAGTCAGGCTGGGCCAATTAATGACAAGTCTTTAAACCTCAACCAATGCACTATTTACGCCAACGTCACGATTAACAATCTCTGGAAAAACATACATTCTTAGAAAAACAAGATAAAAAAAGAAAAGTCATCTGGATATTTCCCCCTTAAAAGAAACGTTACCAAAATTATAATCTCTTTTTTTAGCTCCAAGGCTCTCTGGCATTGAAAATATCTTAGTTTTCTGCACTGCAAATAAAATATGGCTTTATATCAAACTACGTCTTCGTTAATAAGGGAATATTAATTCAATTGTCTCGAGCGTCAACTTCGGAAGTTTATTTTTCTTTAGTTAATTGTGAACATACAACATAAAAAGCATAAAACTAAGACAAGCTTACTAAATTATTTTAGTGTGATTTGGGGTAGGAGGAAAATTACATTTTAGAAAAGACTTCATGTTAAGTCTTTTCATAAATGCCTTATTCTACCATCGATGACTACACCGGTCTGAATGAAAGCGGTACCCAATCAGTAGCCATCGCAAATTCGTTTTCTGTGTGTCCAAAAATCTTATTTCCAAGATTGCTTTTCTTTTGAAAAAGAATTAACATGGAATCCTCTCTATTTCTTTTGACAACCGAAAAAAAATATAGGTTCCCATTAACTTTAAAAAAGTTTTTGAAAATGTTGTTTCAGCGCTAGGGAATGCAGTTTTTCGACCAATGTAGTTAAATTGTTAAATTATGCTTTTATTAGTCTTTATAAACAGTATCTTTTTGACGACTTGCCAAATAAGAAGAATATACTGTTCAATAAGGTTTTAGAGACTACGTGAGTTTTTTCGATCATTAGTGCTGTTAAGTTATGTTTAGTTTATAGTCTTAAATATTTAATTACGACTGTTGCATAAATTCATGCAACTTAGATAGCTTTCGTCAATTTGTTCAAGTTACTCCTTTGGGCCAACACTAAATTTTATTTCAAAGAAAGTGGATGGAATCATGCTATCAACAGAGAGGAGAAGTCGCTACGTCACGTTGCCATGGTAGCAAAATTTCTGGTTGACAACAAACCGAAAACTTTACTTAAAAAGTGAATTCGCACTGTTTCAAACTTCATCGATTTTATTCCATTTCATTTAATTTTTCAAATATTGGCGACATTATTTCAGGTGTTGAATCCGAAAGGACAGGATCTAAGTTTACAAAAAGGAAAAGAAAATTTCTATGTTGTGTTCACCTGCTCTATAACGTGGGCAGGTGAAATTAGGAAGTTTCATGTCGCAGTCGGGCGAGATAGGAGCATGGTTATAACGTTAAGATGAAAAAGGCCGGTCCAATTATCATCTAAAAACTGTAAGAGTAGAGAACTTGTTTTCTACAAAAAAGGTATTTTTAAAACCCTCGAACGTACAAGGTGTGGAAAAATATCACGATTTATTTTAAAAAGTCCTAACCTGCTGAGGTCTTTCTGAGTTTTTTCCTAGACGATAAAACATCAGCACGCGACGTTTTCAGTAGCTGTTCGTTTATCCCTCGCGCGCATTTTGAGACAAGTTTTTAGATAACAAAACAGAGCCAGTTATATCTCAGGTTAATCCATAGAAAGAAAAATTAGCTTCGATATCCCATGGAGACCTTTTTTCTCTTTTTTAATTCGTCTTTTGTTACATACAAAGCAACAGAAGTCATGCCAGTCTATGTCCTTCTTCGGGGGTAGATTAGCGGCATCATTTGAATCTTGATATTCCTGTTTCCTACCGTTTTAGTCTCAATGCTTTATGATTCTTAATACAAGTCGAATTTTCTTCCAGATTCATGATTCACAAAGACTTTTGGTCACCTAATGACTTAATTATTTTCTCAGTGGCAACTTGGTCTCGTTTTGTACAGCTTCTTTGGTGTTCAACCTTCGGCTTACTCCAGACCATCATTCGTTTTGTCTAGGTATGGAGTTTATTTGTAAATTACTGAACATTAAGCACCATTACTTAAGAAACAAGGTGACTGTTAGCCCCAAATGCACGAATTATATAGGCGGGTCCGGGAGCATGCTCCCCCGGAAAAACATTGAAAATTGGACTCTCAGAAACGCCATATCGTACATATCTGGATCGAAAGCAATTATTTCAGGCGTGCATTTTGATGAGCTTTTCTCATAGTATCGTTATTCATGGTTACCGAACCGAATTACAAATACCTTAAGATTCATGATTCCCAAGTTGTCGGTTAACATGATTCTGACATGTTTTGATTGATTCATGGTTCATGATTCCGCTCCCACTCTCGATCTTTCAATATCAATTCATGTAAAAAAATATTAAAACTTACCTTCCATTTGAGCAAAAATCGCATTAGGTATCACAGAAAACAATGGAATGAGGGGCAACAAGCAAAAGTAAGAAGAGAACATCCCCGATTAGTGAGGAGACTCTTGGAGAACTCCGTGAAATAGAGGAACTTGACAAACACTGTAAAACGCTGCCTATTTGGTAAAGCGATAGGTGTTCTCAAAAACCATCAATTTATATGCAATATTAAATGTTCATTATTTATGAATTTCTTTTCAATCGTGTGTCTGTCGCTTCAGGCGGCCAACCTAATGAAAGATCATCAATCGAACCTGAGTTGTTATTAGATACTTTAAGGTCCAACGACGCGACGGGAGCAAGAACGTCACTTAAAAAGTCAATTTGCGTTCTTTCAGTCTTAATAGCGATTATTCCTACCCACCTACTTTGTCAATTGTAGGCGAACCCTCCTAAAGCGGAATTTCATGGGACCATTATTTAAGCTCAGAAAGAGAAATAAAATTTCGTCGTTGCTTGTTTACGTTCCCCATTAAACGCGAAATTAGGCATTTTCACGTTGAAGTCGTGCAAAAAAGGAAAAGAAATGTACAAAACAGTGTGATGCATGTGCAAAGTTTTTGTTTTGCTCATTAAACCTATTGTTTTTTTATGACATTCTCGCTGCCGTCCGCGTCGTTGGATCTTCAAGTCCCTATTATGTCTGATCAACGCGTCTGTTGTATTGCATACTTAGTAAACAATCTTTGGAAGCTGAGAGATGCTTACCATTCACACAAACCACCCGTCGCGGGGTGGAAAACTGGTGCATAGATATAAAACTACTGACAATTTTACCGAGAGCATAAAGTATCTTCTTTATACCCCAAAATGTGCCATAATCGTTGTTTTCGATTTCCCTTGGGGCGAGAAAAAAACTGGAAACAATGGTAATGAAAAATTTGGTGGGAGGGGGAGGGGGAAGCCCTAAATTAAAGGGGCACAATTATGGTCTCGGCGAAAATGGTGAATAAAGTTTGAGAACGAGCCGCAACAAATTATATCCAAATCGGCTGAACAGACTAAAAAAACTACAAACATTGCTTCGTCTTAAATCTTCGCTGAACCTTCCTAAATGGAATGACACAAACCATTTGATTTTCAAACCGGAATGTCCAGTTTTCCCATATAAATGGTAAATTACACAGTCAGGTGTTCCATCCTGAGCAATAAGCCTTTTTGACGCCTTAAACAGCAAGAAGAAATTGAAAGTAAAACATAAATGCTTGATTCACGAAATGGATTAATATAATAGATTCCGAGAAATTCCAAGTTACGGTCAAAATTTATTGTTGGAAAGATCAGATTCAGTGCTAACTAAATATTTCATTTCATATTCAAAACGGTTTTCCTACTATTTCACGATTTCTTTCCTTTTTGTAATTGTCAAATATGTTTAAGACCTTCTTGACACATTTAAATAGACAAAATGACAGCTGCAGTAAATGTTAATGCAACCTAAACCGCTCAAGAAAAATCTAGAACCGCAGATCTAAGTACGGCTTGACCATCTCTTATGCAATTTAAATTTTGAAT